TTTTGCGGAGTCTGTATAGTCTTGGGGGGAGAGCTTCTGTCTTGCAGATTTGTTGAAGGACGTTGGGGTGCAGGGAGGAACTCCTGATCAGTATGTTTGTTTTGTGATTTTGTTGGTTGGGTCCTGTTTTAGTTTTCTGTAAGTGGTGGAGTCTAGAATTTTTCTGATTATGTCCCTGTATTCTTCTGTTTCCATGATTACTATGCCGTTGCCTTTGTCTGCTGGCAGGATGATGATATCCGTGTCTGAGTTCAGGGACTTGATGGCATTTCTCTCCTTTCGTGTTATGTTGCTTTTGGAGGGGTTTTTGCTTTCCGTAGGATCCTAGTCACTTCCCCTTTTATTTCCTCTGCTTTTTCTTCTGGAAGATGATATAATGCTGATTCCACGTTGGCAATTATGTCTCCCACAGGAATTTTACTGTGTGTGACTGCAAAATTTCCTCCTTTGCTTAAGAGTGAGGTTTCTTCTGGGGAGAATTGGCATCCCAATAGGTTGATGCTGATGCGCGTGGTGTCTAGTGTAGGTTTCCGTTGGCTTGTTTGGCATTTGTTGAATTTCTGTTTTTGTCTGGCTGTGTGGTTCATCATTTCTTTTTCCATCTTTTTGTAAGAGAGGGTATCAATCTTGTCCCAAATGAAGGACTATTTTCAGAGGAACTTCACCAAAGGATTGCCCATGTGGACAGTATGGGAAGCTGGCAAGGTGGTCCTCAGAGGCATTTTGATAAGACCGGGAGCAATAAAAAAGAAGTCAAAAGAGGCAAGATATAAGAATTTGGAGAAAGAATTGGCAAATTTAGAAATTTAGAAAAACAAATGAAAATAATCCACCAGTAGTGCAAATAAAACAGAAAATTCAAATTATACAACATTACTAAGTACTCTTCTGACAGAAGATATCGCAACTAAATAGAAAAGGTTTATCTCATATTGGGCTTGACAGCTGTGCATAGTATCTATTCAATTTGCCAATTAATAAAACTCCTTTCACCATAAGAGATGTATAAAAAGTTATAACATTCACTTGAGCAAAAGAAAGGCCAAAAAATGCTTTGCCCAAAATTTGTCCTTGAAACTCACCCCAGGATGTAAATTTAACTTCATAGACTGTCTTCTGATGTGTCCCTATGGCTTACATGCAATAGAACTATTACACTAAGTGTGTGACATTAACGAGGAGTTTTGTGCCTGCTCGCTTGCCTGCCTACCATGATGATTGTCGAATTCATCATCTTCCCCCAGGAAGCTCATCTTAACATCTAACCTCTTTTTCTGCTAAGACAACAAGAAAAAAAGTTAATGTTTTTAAAAAATGTACTACATTCCTCCAAGCCCCCAGAACTTTGATAAAGCCCTTTGAGTTCAGCAGTGTTAAAAGTTTGAAAAGTGCTGGTTAAAATATTTGTTATTTTTTCCTTTATTCATAATTAAAACACCAAACTTCTTTTCCTTCACTTTAAAGCACCTGTGGAATGGATGGGCTAATGTTATGATACACAGTGCCCCTCCCACACAGTTTCCTGACAGAATTCTTCCCACAAAAGTGCTTTGAATCCCATTAGGTAAAAAAGTAGTGTTACAACACTATAACAAATAGCCATGGTAAACCATTCAGTGGCCTAGGTCAGTGACAGTGTATGTGTTACCCTCTAGATGTAGTTCAGTATCAGTTCCCATGATTCTTCAGCATTTTCCTTGCAGGCTACAGTTGATGGAAGCTGCAGCAGAACAACATCAGGAAGTAAGCTATATATTTTCCATCCATCTGTAGGATAAGGATTGAAAATAGTGTAGTTGAGCTTCTACTCCTTTTGTACTGCATGAGATTCATTGCGACACAAAGTGCACCTTGCATCAGAAATTCATGTATTACTGTTGCTGCTGCTACTACCACTACTAGTAGTATCTTCAACTTATATACTTATATAGAGCACTCTCTGGGTGGTTTACAATATAAATTATAGAAACAACAACTTGCCCCCAGCAAACTAGGTACTAGTTTAGGAAGTGAACTGGTTTAGGAACGTTAGGAAGAACAACCTTCAGAACACGGCCAAAGAGCCCGAAAAACCCACAACAAACTAGGTACTCTTTTTACTGACCTCAGAAGGATGGAAGGATGGAATCTGACAAGCAGACCTTGAGCCAACTGCTTGAACCTAATGAGATCGAACTCGGGTCATGAACAGAGGCTTGACTACAGTACAGCAGTTTAACCAGTGTGCCATGAGTCTCTAGGAAAAAAACAACACTAATATGTTTTAGTGAGTGGAGAAAATGCACACAGAAATATGTACATTCAGAAACATATGCATGGAAAGTGCACATAAATATCCATGTGGGAGGAGAAAACAAAGTCTTGCAACTTGCTACAAAAGCTGGGGCAAGAACGCTGTTGGGATCCAGAAAAATGCAATGGGATCAAGATTAAGAGACTAGAAACATTCTTCCCTTTCTCTTTCCCCTGCACCCTTCTGAGCTGAATGAAAACTGGCTCCCAACTGTTTCCTAGTCCTTTGGAACAGGGTTTGGGATTGCACAAAGATTGCAGTGGGAAGTAAGGTTTCCCTCTCTTCCAGGATTCTGCTGCTCCACTAGGAGAAGTCCAACATTAGATCTGGACTGGACTGACCCAGAAGTTCACTAAATCTCATTGCCTGTAATAGAATGCAGGAAACGTCAAACATAAAATCAAAGCAATCACCATCACCACCATTATTGCAGAGGGTTCAGCTGCTTCACTGATTTTAATGAAAATCAACACCATGTACCTACCCATGATGATCATTAAGTACAGTGGTGCCTCACTTGATGAAGATAATCCGTTCCAGCAAAATCGCTGTGGAACGAAATCGTCGTCAAGCGAAAGTAAAAATCCCACTGAAATGCATTGAAAACCGGTTCAATGCGTTCCAATGGGTGAAATACCTCAGCGTCCAGTGAAGATCCTCCATAGGGCAGCCATTTTCTGGTGCCTGTAAAGCGAGGAATCCATCCTAAAACACAGCGGGGAGCCATTTTACAGAGCGGGGAGCCATTTTGAAAGCCCGACAATCAGCTGTTTTTGATCGTCGTTAAGTGAAAAATCGGTTCCCGAAGCAGGGAACTGATTATTGTGAAGCGATTTTCCCTATTAAAACATCATTTTAAGCAATTTCCTTATCTAACAAGGTAATCATCAAGCGGGGCACCACTGTATTAGTTTTCTTGAAACATTGTAAAAGCCATTGGCTTCAGGCAGAGGAGTTTTTTTGGGGTGGGCTATGGAGCTTTGAAGAAACGAATTGTCTCTAAATCCCATCTCATTTTAACAGTAGCAAAATCAATACTCACAACAGTCAAAAGGCAAAGGATGCTAGTTGGACTTTGGTATGGAAAACAAGGGGCATAATGGTAGCCATCACCATTGGATGTAACAATGAGTTATAGTAGGCTCTTCCAAATTCATTTGTGGTAGACAGATTTTTTTTTTTATAAAAAAAGCCTACTATCCTGGCAGGTTTGGATGGCCAAAGGGTGCTAAGAATCTTTGAGTTGAAAATCAGATTAAAAACCCAGGAGATACTATGTGTGTACGAGACAGGAACATTCCAAAATAATGTGTGTGTTTTTTAAAGGAAAGTGGTGAATATTCAGATCCTTGGATTACACGAAGTTTATTGCCCATGATCTGATTGAGTACAGTATATGCTGTTCATATTATGTTACAAAATTGTAATCATAGTAATGAAAGACATAGCTCCTACTGTTATGAACTTTGTTCCATACTCAGAGTGGCTAATGCTTATTGAACCAACAGGAAGTCCCACAACAATTACATTGTTTAAGAATATGCCCCTACTTAGTCTGAGGTACTGGAACTATGCTAAAGATGGTGGGGACTTATCCTGGAGTGGATGTAAGTTCAGATCATAACCCTCACATTGCTGTACTTAATAAAATTAACCTCAATAGGTAATGAAAATACAAATACTAAAAACAGGAAAAACATAGGAATTTAAACAGCTATGTGATCCAGATATATGTACCTAATGCAGTAAAGGATGAGATGGATGAAGATTATCAATAGTATTACCCATTTAAAATAGCTCATATACAAATGCTACTGTTTCTAGTCTGATAGAAATATTAATACATGTGACCAGCAGCAACCTCAGAAATATATATGTACATTAAAAAGTGGGGAATACAAGAAATATTAGATAAACATTTATTTATTTATTTTATTGGATTTCTACCCCGCCCAGCTAGACCAAAGATCTACTCTGGGCAAAAGATACCATCAAAAATATTTCTCTGGACAAAGTACAGAATTAGAAAACCTGGAGAAGATCTACTGTGCCTTCAACATACACAAAAGGTTTGGGTAGGTAAAGCCGTCTTTACAACATAGGAATGCCCACTACTTAAATAGTCCATTCTTTCCATTCCCTGGTACTTCACATCTAGGATAAAATCAAGGTGTGGAGTTGATATATTAAATAGCTGTTTGAAGATAATAGACCAAGAGAATTTATTATACTAGATGTCATTACTGACATAGAAATATAGCAAACAGAAATTCAAAGTGAAGTACAGCTATCAAAATGGCAAAATTCCTGAACCCTGTGATGTCCTTGGAGAAGTATGAAAGCTAATAGAATGTGACAACTTAGATATTTTAGTGAATCTTTTCAATCAAATCTGCAGAACGGGATTCATTCCTGAAATTTGGCTGAAATCAGCCTTGATTATATTAATCTAAAGGGAAATCGCAAAGCATATAGCGACTACAGAACAGTAAACTTAACGGGCCATTTGCTTAAGGTTGTCTTGAAGACAATACATTGTAGAATTTACAAGAAGTGCAAAGATGGAGCAAGAACCTCATAATTTAGGGGCAGACGCAGATTTGGAAACATTGAAACACTGTTCTGTTTGGGGAAGAGAGATGCTGTGACATAAACATGCATGTGTATTTTTGGTTTGTTGATTATGAGAAAGCTTTCAGCAAAGTCCAACATGGCAAGCTGCTAGAGCTCTCGATAAGAAATGACCTTGATTCAAGAGGTATACATAGTCACCTGTATGGCAACAAAAAATGCAATGAATGTTGAAGGTCAGATGATAGAGGACATGGTGATTGAAGAAGAGAATTAGGATGTATACTCTCACCACTGCTTTTCAATTTGTATTTGAAGCACCTAGTAGAAAAGCAAACATTGATTCAAAAGATTGCAGCAGCATCAGTGAAGATGTTATCAACAATATCTGATATGCAGATGCTACAGTAGTACTAGTTTGGCAGTTTAGATGATCTGCGCAAGTTGCTGATCATCCTTGCTGTCCTAAGCTTGTTTCAGTTTGTTGCCATTCTTCTTAAAATGTGGTGTCCAGAACTGGATACAATGTACTCAAGTAAAGCCTTACTAGTGCTGAATAGAATGGAACATGGGATTTGGAGACTCTACTTCTGTTAATCAAGCCTAAAATAGCATTGGCCTATTTTGCAGTCATGTCACACTGTTGGCTCATATTCAGCTTGTGATCTATAACAATGCTAAGATCTTTCTCACATGTAGTATTACTGAGCCATGAATCCCTCATCTTGTAACTGTGCATTTGGTTACCCCCCCCCCAAGTATAGAACTTTGCACTTACCTGTTACATTTCATTCTGTTTTTTAAGCCCAGTGCTTAAGCCTATGAAGATCTTTGTGAATATTGTTCCTGTCTTCCAAGGTATTAACTATTCCAACCAGCTTTGTGTCACCTGCAGATTTGATAAGTATTCCCTGCACTCCTTCATCCAAGTCATTAATAAAAATGTTGAAGAGCACTGGGCCCAGGATTTGGACTTGGGGTACCCCAGTAGTTACCTCCTCCCCATTAGAGAAGGAGCCATTGATAAGCCCTCTCCGAGTATGGTTCTTTAACCAAATGCATATCCACCTGATAGTTGTTCTATCCAGCCCACACCTAATTAGCTTCCTAATCAGAATATCATGGGGCTCTTTGCCAAAGGTTCTGCTGAAGTCAAGATATATTACATCTACAGCATCCCTGTCATATACCAGGGACTTTACCCAATCAAAAAATGAGATCTGATTAGTCTGGCAGGATTTGTTCTTGACAAATCCGTGTTGGCTTCTAGTTATTACTGCTTTGTTTTCTAGGTGTCTGCATAGTGACTGCTTTATAATCTGTTCCAGAATTTTCCCTAGAATTGATGTCAGGCTGCCTGGTCTGTACTTCCCAGGTTCCTTTTTCTTTCCCTTTTTGTAGATAGGGACAATGTTAACCCTCCTCCAG